AGATAAGTTCTAACTTTAACCAGTTAATAGAATACCAGATAAATGTCCCAAATCATTAATTGTTTGCATCAAAGCTGGAACAGCTGACTGGAATTCCAGAATAAACAATATGAGAACATCATCACGAAGAATAAGAATTATAAGTTATTATGCACACAAAACCGAGAAACATAACAGGAGACATCTTTATGTTAGTTTATAGGCAGACACCTAACCGGAAGCAACTGTTGACCAGGGATAAAAGCTCATCACTGGACTTAGAGTAAGCATCAGACCGTATAAGCTTGAGCCCCAACTGTGCTCAGTAAACACTGGAGACAACGTAAGCATACCCAATGGGCCCTACTACAGCATCCATGGCAAATACGGCTGCATCTCATGAAATGTCATGCATTTCATCTTCTGCATCATGTGCCCAAAAGCCATGTGCATTGCCCAAAAAAGAATTCTAAGACAAAGATGAAATGAGCACAAATCAGGTGTTAAGCATAATGACACCAATAAACTTTTCAGTAAACAATTTAGGCAATATGGGCATGCTGTAAAGTACCTCCAGGTAGTTGTTTTTAGTTGCATCAAGACTATTTGTGGTTTTGGGTTAGGATTAGGAACGCCTAACCCTAAAAAAATAAAAATCAGCTGCACACTTGGAATGTGAGATTGCGGAACAAGATATTATAAAGACAAAACAACAACAACAGATTTTGTTGTTCGGGGACTCAATAGAGTCTATGGTGCACATTATAAAGAATCTTAATGCACCATCTGTTTTGTAATTGTTGCTTTCACAGTATTGAGTGCTTGATGAAGTTTTACCTGTTGAACTATCTTTTCAGACTCAGACTCCAATTCTGTTTATAGCAATCTGATACAGACTTGATGTGGAATGAGCATCTAGGGAAAATCTAAGGAATTTTTGACAAGCTCTGGTTTTGCTTCTCTACTCATCCTCTTTGACCACTTAATACCAAATCTGCAGCATTCTTTGAAATTTGTTTTGTATGCTCTGGCAATTCCTGTAAGCAGTGCTTTTTTTGTAAGAAAAAGGGTGCCGGAACTCATGAAATTATTTACCTTTTGCACGTAATCAATCACTGTACACACACCCACACATGTCAGATGTGTAACAAAACGTAATGGTTGCCGCCTGCAGTAAGCACTCAGCGCACGACCACATGATCAATCACAAGCCGAGGAGCGCCACAAGCTGAACAGCACCATCACAACCAGCGCGGACGAAGTACGCATGCATCAGACTCGACACACAAGCAGCCCGCATGCACCGTTTTAATGATTTTGCTACCGACCTACGCTCAACAGGGTGATTCAAATCCACGTGGACCAAACATCAAATTTTCAAAAGTTACTTTTAAAACTTGGAAAATCTGTTGAAAAAAGGTGCTGGAACTCCGTTCTGGTGCGTTCTATGACAAAAAAAGCACTGCCTGTAAGAAGCAACTTTCTAATTCATGGGATGCTATCCAGTCTCTCCATGTTAACATGACAAGCATTCCTTCCCACCATCCTATTCATGGACAGCATGAATCTTCAACCAGAGAACTATATTTTGCTGCAATTAAGGGAAGGAAGGCTGTCAAAATATCATTTAAATCAATGTTTATCTTATAGTCCATGTCTCTGCCATCTTGAATTATTAGGTATTTGTCAGTTTCACAACTGCTACAGTCTATGGCAGGTTCTATGAACTATTTTTCCACTGGGATTTTAAAAAACATCTTTCAGTTCAAATGACACTAACTTAGTTTTTTAAGGCAAGATTTCCCCCATCTTTCACCTCCAGAAGTGGCACTTTTCAAAACATAATTTACACAAGTAAATTACACACTTTTAACAGTTCAGCAGTTCAGTCTTATCCATGTAGATAAGATAGACTGGACATGCGCATGATGGGCATGTTGTGAGCAGAGCTGGCTGGTGCTGGAGGTCAGACTAGATGGCCTGGGAGGCCCCTTCTGACTCTGTTTCTATGTTTCTATGTCCCCGTAGAAGTAAGTCACAGGCTTCAATCCCACATAAATGGGCATAGGTCTGGGCCTGAAGTCTTAATTCATTTTAGTAAGAGATGTTGAAGCTGCAGTCCTATATATACTTACTAGGAATGAGACCCATAGAACTCATAGACATGAAAAGGATTGTACTGTTTTGCTTCTGCTTGACTCCCACTTAAATGAATGAGATTTCAAAGTGTTTAACCTTGCCTAAATCAGACCTAATGCTTTAAAGATTGGCTATGATTAAGTTTCTATGTATAAACCGTACATGGTTTCCCTTTGTCCTGAAAATCACCTTTCTGTCTGAATAACAAATAGTCTGTCTGACCCAGCCTACAAGTTCTGCATTATACCAGAACATCAATGGAGAACAATTTTTAGGAGTTTTCCAGACTGCCTCCATATGCTGTTCTTTTGCTCTTTGCTTTAAGACATTGTAGAGATCATTGTGCTGAAACTTGTTTTGATCCAAGGACATTTTTCTTAAAGATTCTCAGAAAATTTTAGGACCAGACCAGGCTTGTAAAATTACTGTATGGTGGCCAGGTCCATCAAACCTAAATCATTACCATCTTCTATTTTAGTCTTGCTCCATTCAGAAAGAAAGCAAAGCAAAAAAAACAGCAAAGCACACTTGTTTTACATTCTGTCTATATACAGTGTGATTTATTTTGTCAGTGTCTCAACAAGAACCATCCTCACAAATGTTTAAGGACAAAACAGAGAGCTTTCTCTGGTTCTGTGAATATTTTGTGCTTCAGAAATAGTTTAAATGGAGGGATAGCCTACATAGGAGAAGGTGGAAAAGTAGAAACTTTATGGTTTTGCAACATATCCTTGCATTAGACCTTTCCGTATAACTGGGACTATTTGGGCTGTAAATGCAATGAAGTATTTTGTTGCTTCTTTGGGTTGTTTCTAAGACTCTTTCAGATTGTAATCCTAATGGTACTTACTGCAGAATAAAGTTTCACTAAATCCAGTGGGAATCATATCTAAGGAAGCATGTCTAGGATTGGATTGCAGATAAAATTTCATTCATTAGCTCTGAAGGCTTTCTTATATCTAGGACAATAGTCCATTTCACATTCCCTTGCAAGCTTTCAAGTGACATTTGTCATGCGTTTAATGCATTCTAACACTCTGCAACCATGTGGAGTGGGTACTGCACTCTACTACCGTGGCTTGGAGGAACATACGTCTGCATCATTCCTTTACGTTCTCACTTAAAGTAGAACCATTCTAATTGAATTTGATAGAAATGAAGCACTTTCAAAAAGAAATTCAAATGGGGAGAATAGTTTGAAGAAATTCTCAGGGACTGGACAGAAGGTTCTTGTGTTTACTTGACCTGTGAAGTTGTTGGGAATGAAAGGGGAAGTTGTCCTTGGTGCCTATTCCAAGGTGAGGCAGATTTGGACTCGCCAGATGAGGAGGAACCCTGGGGACCGGCATTCTCAGATGTTGAAATGGGAAGAGTGGAGGGGCTTACCTCAAGTTCACACTCCCCAGGTGTTCAGGTGAGCTCTGAGGATAGTCAGGATCTACAACTGCAGGGAGGGGGCATGGGAGAAGAGCCCCCGCAGCCAGCCAAGCCTGGTGCAGCTGTTGACCCCATGCCCTGGCATGGATAGAGTTGGGTCAGCCAACTCAAGGGAGTGGGCCCAGAGCTACTCAGAAAGAGGGTTCTCAGAAGTAGTTGCTAGATTCAGTTTAACAAACTGCTGTGGGCGTGCTCAGAAACCCCTTCACTGGAAAATGTGCTTACTGGATGCAACTTAGAGAATAGTAAGTTTTGCAAAGGAAGGATCTGTTGCTTTGAATGTGTGAAAGGGGAAACCTGGCTCCCGACCAGTGAATGACTGATGGCACGACAGTCCTCTCTTTCTTTCTGCAATCATCTCTCTGTAGACTGCTCAGCTTTCCACACTTTAATTAACTGTAGACAGCAGTTGCTGCCTCTCACTTCTCTATTTTTCTAGAACACTGCCAGATATGAGACACTGCAGAGAATGCAGAATGAGAGCCAAGCTGCTATCATGCTGCTGTTGCCACTTGCACTGGTAGAGCGTGTCCCCTCCCATCCAAAACACTCCCATAGAATAGGATAAGAAAGCTATGCTATAGTCCCTGCCATTTGTAAGCCCTGCCTGCAAGAAACTGTTGAAGAATTACTCCTCCCCCAGGAAAAAATGGGTGAAATGGTCCCACCAATTTTTTTGTGCACAAAACAATGGGTGGATTTTGGAAGCTGACTGTGTACAGCTCCACCTTAAACAAACAGATGTTGTTAGTCTCCAGGTCTCTTTGTCCCTGACCATTGACCATGCTGGAGGGAATGATGGGAATTAAAGAACAGTAACTGGAACAGTGCAAGTCATCCCCCCTCCTGTAGTTATCCTGCATTTAAATGGAGATTCCATGACTAGGGTTGACTTTAGACAGTCCTACTTTCTGGCTCTTTGAGAAAGTAGCAAATTATTTTAGCCTAGTGCGAGATGCTACAACAGTTGTATAGGGCAGAAAAGAAAAATCTCTGGACTGCCTTCCTCCCTCCCTTTGTATCTTGATAGTGTTACTTTCAGTGGTCTTTCTATGGAAGAACGAAATACCCATAATAAGCAGCACACTACTTACTATGCTGCTCCTTCCCCCATAACTACCTGTGATTTCTTTTCATCTAGTCATATGCCATCAAACTAGCTGTTAGCTTTGCTTGGCTCAAACTAACATCAAATGGCCATTTATTATAATAGTCTCTGGTTGTGTATAGAGTTTTCCAGAGTATGCAATAATGCATCTTGAGGGGAAATTACATTTTGTCCTAAAATGTTAGATTTAATAGAAGGACGTGGTAGATTGTCACATATGTGGCATACTGTCAGTACGTTCCTTGCAGTGTCGTCAAAATTGCTCTGCTTGATAGTTTTATTGCTGTGACATTAAGTCTAAGGCGGTCATTAATCAAAAGCTATCTTCTGTTCCCAGACCATTGTTAGAGGAAATAAACCTTGCAAGGATACTTCAATCAATGGCTTGCTTGAAGAATTTGACAATATCTCTGTGACTCGCTCCAACTCCCTTCGGAAGGAGAGCCCTCCCACCCCACATCTGGGACACACGAACCATGTTGAAATCCACCAGAAGGAAAATGGCTACATCACATATTCTCAGTATTCAAGTGAGTCAGAGACTGCGACAGACTTCCTCATGGACAAATACCGAGGCAAAGGTCTCCATGCAGAAGAGTTGGACAGGTTCTCCAGAGGCAGCTGTGCTGCCAAACAAAATGGCCATGTGGTGAAAATGAAACCCAGTGAAATGTATTTTTCGGAAGCTAAGCCTCTGAAGTCTGACATCTCTAGGTTCCTACCAGATTATCATGCTCACATCGAAACAAAAAGTAAACTGGATGACTTTGGTGGCCTGAAGCTGGAATATCAGAGGGCTCTGAGTGGATCTTCTCTGGATTATAAGGAGTCTTTTCATTACACTCCTACTAGAACTTCCCTTCACAGCCAATGCTCAAGAGAGAGACTAGAATACAGTGACGACGACTGGGCCAAGGATGACTATGACAAAAGACCAAAGTCGTCCTATGTAGACCAGACAAGCCCCCAACCTGCCATGAGACAGAGGTCCAGGTCAGGCTCCGGTCTGCAAGAGCCAATCATGCCCTATGGAGCAAGTGCTTTTAAGTCAAATCAGCAAGGCCATTCGTATAGTTCATATACCTACCCTCGATTGTCTGAAACAGCAGCAGGCATTCCAAAGGTAAAATTTTACAGGTCAACGTTTTCAGTATTGTGGTCATTTCAGTATTTAGAGTTAAATACGTATTTTGCCCTCTGATCAAGTCCTGATATTTCAGCTTTCAAGAAGGCCTACTTCCTGTTATTTGTAGCACATGAAGAGGTGAAAGGTAGAGAAGGGGGAGAGAGTCAATTGGTTCATGTTTTCATGTGCATTTCATTCATTAGCACTGCCTGAACCCAAAATGCAGTTATACTTGACTATTTGCAATTTTCTGGATTTTGCACTGCAGTTAAAAAATGGCTTTCGAAATGTGCATAGGAGAGGAAGGTGAATACAAAACACGAGTGAAAACAGCATACAAAATGCATTATATTAGGGGAATTGCTTGCAGAAGGTGTGGATAGTAGGAGAAAAGTGCATGGAAATGCCTATGATTAATCTTGTAGGCTTCAAGAAAAAACAGATGTGAAATCTTGCCAAAAGAGCTTAGGTTTATAAAATGAGAGAGTGAGTGAAACTGAAATAGACAGATTCTTCCCTGTCTCCTGCACTTAAATGCAGGCATCTGAATATGAAGAAAAGATTCTCCTTTTAGGTTCGTACTCTGAGGCAAAGTCTGAATCACTGCTCTACTGTTACAGGCTGTCCCGAGGTTACGAACGAGTTCTGCTCCTGAGAAAATGGAAATTTGTCTTTAAGTCAAATTTGTATGTAAGTCCAATCACATATAGTTAGCCCTCCACATTCACAGGTTTTAGGGGTGAAGGACCCCTGTAAAAGTGGAAAAACCACAAATATTTCTCCCCTCCCCACCAACTTTGTTGAAGTGCTTTAAAAAACAAGCTTTTCTGGGAGTGCTAAAGCTGCACTCTGGGATATGTGTCAGTCATAATTTTAGGGCAAAGCAGGTGTTGACCTCATTGGCTGCAGTGGGATGCACATTTGGAGAAAGGGCTTAGTAAGTATTCCATAACGATCCGACACTTTTCAGCTGGTTTGCACAAGAGTTTTTATATCATACCAGTGTTTTTCTGCCTGTAACTTGTTCAAAACTTTGCAAAGCCAGTCACTGAACATTTATTTTCCTGACAGATTGTATATCAGACAGAATTGCAACAAAGGTGGTTTCAGGAAAGTCATTAGTACTAGAAAAAATTAAAATCAGTACTAGGGAAATTCAAAATGTCAAAGCTATCTGATAATTTTAGCATCACTGCATTTTGTTTACTGGATCACACTAAATCAGGCTTCTCCACCCTGCTGCCTTCCAGATGTGCCAGACTGCAATTCCCATCATTCTCAGCCAGGATGGCTAATACTGGCTGGGAGTAAAAGAGCTGCAGCCCAACACATCTGGAGAGCAGTTTGGGGAAAGCTGCATGAAATGGACAGCTGCCATCAAAATGGCAGCCGAACGTTGCATCAGCTATCCAACTCCAGTCACAGCCAATGCCTCAGGCCCGGGGGCTGGGCAATGCAGAGCAATGCAACCTGAAGACATAGGCAAGTCCTCCAAAAGAATGTGAAGGGGCAGAGAGGATTCACCACAGGGCTGCTGGTTTTGTCAGCTTCCGTACATTTGCTGCAATGCCTGATTCTGCTTGCAGAACCTGTGGGCAAGTCGTTGTGCTTTAACCTACACCTCCCATCATCTTTCATCATTGACTATGATGGTTGAGGGGAGCTGGAAGCCAAAGTAGCCAGGAGGCCAGCAGTTGCCCACCCCTTTTCTAGATGCCAAATAGCTAATTCCATGGGAAGTGCCCCGTCTTTCAAGAGTCATTGTTCAAAACATGCTTCCCTAATTCCATATGCAATCAGGGTAGACTTTGCAAAATCACTTCTCGTATTTGTGTGTTCTTTTTCAAACTAAGTGCTTCCAACTCGGTTTCCTTGACCTGTGGCATCTCATCTTTACTGGATCTTTCATAAACATTGTACTTTGCATCCAGACAAATGCATGGCTGCTTGGATAGAGGTGGCAATGTTTTCACTGCCATTTGTAATTGAGAACAAATTAAGTAGTTTCTCCTAATGATTTCATTCAGGTGAGTGCAACTGGCATTTACTTCCAGATAAATGAAAATCCTAACTCTTTATGCATAAATCACCTTTTCAATGACATCCCTCTTATCTCAGAGGCTTTCCAGAGTTTTAGGAACTGCACGCTTCTAAATGGACACCACTTACAACAGGCCTGAATGTGTGCAGAAAATGTTCTACATGCGCAACATTTGCCTATGTCAGAACAGCCTGTTCTGCAAATTAGCCCCTGTTGGTGCAGTTAAACATTTAATTTTTTTTTTAACCTGCCCAATGACACATTTCCCTTGGCAGAGTACAATGGGTAAACTTATGGCTGAGTTTTGTTTGCTATAATTGTATTAATTCTGTGAAGGCCCAGGGAAAAAAATAGAAAAATTCAAAGAAAAAAAATAACCATTTTCTTTTTTTCCCAAACAAGAAAAAGAAAGGGAAAGAAAAAGAAAGAAAAATGGAAAAATCTGAACAGATTTGAATTATGAAATATTTTATTTTAGAATTTAAAACATTGTATTTATACGTTATTACTTTTATTTCCACCCACCAACATGATTTCTAAAAGCTGTGTATTAAAAAGACACTTATAGAAAGACAGAAATTTACAGTTCCTAGAAATGAAGAAGCCATCATTATCATTATTATTTTAGAAAACACTCCAACTAAAACCCAGCATGGTTGTTTCCTCTGGTATCTATATAATTCCTGATCTAATGTATCTTTTGCTGATAGGCATTTATGAATGCTCTGTCATGTTCAGTCTCACTGCTTGTGAATAGAATTATCCTATCATAATACAGAAGAAAATGTGTGTTCTTGACAGTCTTATTTTTATTTTATTTTACAGAGTTCAGTGCTTCTGGACTTATTCTGGGTAGATGCTTTAGCAGTCAATTGATGTAATTCTAATCTGAAACCCTCATGAGAAAAATAAAACACCTTTGGTTATCCCACCCTTGTTACTAGATAGAGCAGGAAAGCATATGCCATGTATGCTTTTTAAAAAAAAAATAACTTCAAGACTTGGGACTCTAGAACTCACTGCCACAGTTTTTAAAAAAGTTGTCGGTGAACCTGACCACAAAGGAATCCTGCTTCAGCTATTAAAGTTATAACTGCTGCAACCAGAATAAATTTCTCTCCCTAAAAGGTACTCAGTAGCCTGGTTCTTATGCTGTCTGCAAGGACGTGAGAGCTCCACTCAACACAGCCATTCAGAATGAACAAAATGTAAGATTTTCATTCATAGAAATTAGTTACAATACTGAATAAAATACCACTCATCAAATAAGGGGATGGGCCTGCTTCAAGTTTCAGGCATTAAATATGGAAGCTTACCATTTCTAATAGACGAGAGTCTTTTCTGAATAAATAACATCTCAAAAGCTTTTCCTCCAGATCAGAATTCCCTAAGTGCCCCTGTGAAGAACAGGCTGAGGAAGCTCTTCACACTTCTGTACCAACAAGAAGAGTTGTTGTACATCAATTCTCCTCTCTCCCCAGTTCTTTCTACTTCCGGGATGATTCAGAAGGTTCAGGAACTACTTCCTGACGTTCCCTCTTTTCAGACATAAAGTAGGAACTGAAAATATGTTATATATAACTTAGCTTAAAATTAAAGCTAAGCTTAAATTCTTAAAATTATCACATTTGGTACCTTAAAGTATAGTTTATCCAGTTGATTACACATTTACTCAGCTTATTTTCAAAGCTTTTAAAATAAAGTGATAATTTTATCAGCAAACCAAATATTACGTTATGTAACTTTAGGAACTTAAAGAACTTAAAGTTTTCTCCATTCTGTGCACTCCACATGTTTTGGGCTGCAATGTCCAGCATTTCTGACCCATTGGTCATGCTGCTGGAGGCTGCTGGGAGCTGAAGTCCAAACTATTTAGAAGATACTGTCTATTGGAAGGCTGTCCTAAGCCAACAAGGTGATTTTATTTGTTCAGAGAGTGCAAAAACTTTTAGTTATGCTTCAATTACAAAAAACCGTTTCTTTTCAGGGGGAAATTGTGTGTGTGTGGGGAGAGTTTCTTTCCCACGAATTCAAAATTTCTGGAAATTTTACATTTCCAAATCAAGCAGTTAAATCCATAGCTGTGCAGAGAACTTGGTTCTCCTAACCTCCAAGCCATTACCTCTGAATCAAACCGATTGAACTCAGTAAGTTTACTCCAGAACAAGAGCTAATTTACTTGTTCTTAGACTTCTACCTTTGTCCAATCTGAACTGTACCTGAGCTATGTCCAATGCTAGTCCTACTTAGAGTTGACCCATTGAAATGAATGGAACTTAAGTTAGATTATTATTGGATAGAACCAATGAGATACAGCCTTCTGTTCATAAGAATTTTAAAGGAAACCTGATGTATCAGAGCAGATGTCCATGAAGTCCTCCTTCCATCATTTCTTTGAAGCTCACAGCCAGTACATGAAGATCACAGCCTTTGTCTGCTGTGCCCCATCTCCCCACCATAACCACTGCCAGTACTAGCCATGATTCAGAGATATGGTGGTGTGTTCACACAACAAGCACCTTCATGGTTACCCCGGTTCTCAGTGTTTTGCTATAATCTACCTGACAGACAATCAGGTGGTTTCTACTTTATTGTGGTTTCCATCCTTCCCACTCAGTTCCCTCACTGTTGGCATGTATCCCATCAGCCACTGCACCTGAAATTCAATTCCAAGGTGCATCACTCCCTGCTGATGTCATCCACCCTTTCTTCATTTGATCCACACATAGAGGCTGGGTGGCTGGAGAAGTTCCTGATGTTACCCCTCTTTCCAAAGGATTCTGTGGTAGTTGCATGCCAGGACTATAGAAACCATGACCCCTGGATTCAGATAACATGCCAAGCCATGGTGGTACAGAAAAACTGGTTTTTTTCTGATCATGATTTCTAAATAGCAAACTGACAGGGTCAAATACCATGATGGGGTGCAGACAACGCAACAGACCATCAATGGCAA